GATGCTGAGACCCCCAGAGCACAGAGAAGGGGGATCCCTGGGACCCTCAGCAGCCTGGATAGGGGGAGACCCCAGAGATGTGGGACCCCTGAGACCCCTCAGCATCCCAAAGCAAAGAGTCAGGGAAGAAAAGACCCCTGGGGCCTCCAAAACCCCCAACATCCCTAAGCAGGGGGACCCTGGAGGGGGGGAACTCCAGGACCTCCAGCAGCCCAGAGAGGGCAGGGACCCTGGAGAGTGGGGTGCACAATACATGTGGGACCCGCAGCAGCCAAAACAGGAGGGACCCCCCAGAACCCCAACGTGGAGAGACCTGAGAGGGGAACCCCAGGAAGACTTTTTTTTTGGTCTGAATCTTGGAGTTCTGGTTTGGTATTTTTTTCCACTGAAACTTGGCGTTTAGGAGGTTTTTATGGTCAGAGGATGCCCGGTGAGTTCTAAAAATGGACTTGGGCAGGAGGAACCCCCAAGCCAACGCGTTTAGCCCTTGTTTCCCCCCAGCAGGATTTGTCCTTCCCAAAGCTTGGGCAGATGGAGGAGGAAGCTGGGAGGAAGAGGAAAAGGCCGCGGGACCCCAGGCAGGTGAGGAGGAAGTCAAGGCCCCTTTGGCCCTGTCTTGTGGTGCCTGTGGGGGCCAGAACTGGGGGGATGTCCTTTTGCCGTCCCTCTGGGCCGGAGGCAAATCCCCTGCCTGTCCTTCTTCCTTCCTGCCCCAGGCCCCGAGCTGAGGACGGAGAGCACGGAGGACAAATCCCCCCGGCAGAGCCTGGTGGGAGAGACCGTTTTGAAGGGCTCCCCGGCGCAGGAAGGCAGCGGGGAGGAAAAGGCCCAGAGATGCCCCCGGAGGAGGGGCTGCAAAGCCAGCCCAGGGAGCTGTGAGGAGGAAAGAGCCGTCCTGTGCCGGGAAGGCGGCCGGAGCTTGAGCCGGAGCTCCGAGCTGGTGGGCCCTAAGCAGCCTCCCAGCAGGGAGAAGCCCTTCAGGTGCTTGGAATGTGGGAAGAGCTTCAGGGAGAGCTCGAAGCTCCTCAGCCACCTGCACATTCACACTGGGGAACGGCCCTACACGTGTAGGGAATGTGGGAAGAGCTTCAACCAGAGGTCCCACCTGATCACCCACCAGCACATCCACACTGGGGAACAGCCCTACAAGTGTGAGGAATGTGGGAAGAGCTTCAGGTACAGCTCCCACCTGATCCGACACCAGCACATCCACACTGGGGAACAGCCCTACATGTGTGGGGAATATGGGAAGAGCTTCACTGATAGATCCAGCCTTATCCAACACCAGCGTATCCACACTGGGGAACGGCCCTACAAGTGCTTGCAATGTGGGAAGAGGTTTCAGACCAGTGGGAATCTTCTCCTGCATGAGCGGACACACACAGAGGAGAGGCCCTTCCGCTGCATCGACTGCGGGAAGGGCTTCAAACACAACTCCACCCTCATCACCCACCGGCGCATCCACACCGGGGAGAGGCCCTACAAGTGTGGGGAGTGTGGGAAGAGCTTCACCACCAGCTCCAACTTGACCAAACACCAACGGACCCACCAGTAAGAGAAGCCCCTCAAGTGCCCCGACTGCGGGAAGAGCTTCGGCCGCTGCTCCCACCCCGAATGACCCCCCTGATGGTGAGGCAACCCCTGGAGTCCAGGGACTGTCAGTCCATCCCTTTCCACCAGAAAGGGCCAGTCCCCTTTGCCAGGGGTAGGTTGTGCCAACAGAACCCTTCTTGGGGGGGGTGTGGCGATTCCTGCCTTGGCTGGGACCCCCCAAGGTCACTGCTGGAGGTTGAGAGCAGAGATCTCCCCACGAGCGTTGATCTGGGGGAGTTCCATCCATCTCTAATTCATAACTCTTGCTTTGGTGCCAGCTTGAGTAGAATTGCTTCAACAATTGCTTTAGTGTAGAGCACTGTCCTATCTTATGCTGTACTACTGGTAGTTT